CCACACGATTTCGTCCTCTCCCAAGTCCTGTTTCGGTGGCGCCATCCCTATAACCTGCAAGCAGAGATCACTAGGTAAGAACTGTTCAATCAAATGGATGTTCCACTCACCTGACGTCGTGGTCATGTCCGCGACTGTCGCGCCAGCTGGGAAGCCCGGTTTGCTCGTCCAGGCGTGCTCTGCTAGCACAGTGCCTCCATCCACCCACTTATCATCCCAGAAAAGGGTGGAACGCCCATCCCTCACACTCCAGCTCACCCCTTCTAGCATTAGGCCCCAAACGCGACGAACACCCCTCCATAGCTGAGAACAGCGTGTCTTCCTCCTTAACTCCACACCCGTAGGTCCTTCCTTTAGATACTTTTCTTTTAGCACCCTAACCCATAGCTCCGTTGGCTGCTTCAGAATGCCCCAAGCCAACTTCAGGAAATAGGCGCTGTTAAGCTCCCTAGCCATCCGTAATCCAAGTCCTCCTTGGTCCTTCGGCAGACAGACCGTTTCCCAGTCAACAAGATGGATCCGTCGACGCCCTTGCTGCGAGCCCCAGATGAATGCGCGTATCTTGCGATCAAGGTAGTCACAGATTCCCGCTGGTAGTACTGCTGTCTGCATCACATATGAAGGGATGGCGTTAAGAACCGAGAGCGCCAGCGTCACCCGTCCCGCCAGAGAGAGGTTTTCAGCTTTCCATCCTGCAAGGCGCTGGTCAATTTTGTCGATGACATACTGGTAGGTAGCCTTAGTCACGCGGCCATGCAGGACCGGGACGCCCAAATATCGACCAAGGTCCTGTGTTACCGGGATGGCCAGTTGGTCGCTAATCTCCTTGCATAGGTCGCGGCTCAAATGCTTGGAGAAGAAGATCCTTGATTTCTCACGGCTTACCATCTCACCAGATCCTTGGCAAAAAACGTTAAGACACTGCGATATCACCTCTGCTTGTTCTTTACTAGCCTCTGCAAACAAGACAAGATCATCAGCAAAGAATAAATGGGTTAGCTCCACTCCCCCTCTCACGAGTTGGATGGGTTTCCACTTCTTCTCTGCTGCCAGGTCCAATATCATATGAGATAAACGTTCAATGCACAGAGTGAAAATATATGGCGATAGCGGACAGCCCTGTCGTAAGCCTCTAGAGGGTAAGAAGGACTCAGTACACGCTCCATCCCATAGCACCTCAAAGGAAGTCGAGGTAATGGAGGCCATTACAGCTTGAGTAAACTTGTCCGGTAGTCCCGCCGCCACCAGGGTACTGGCAATGAAGCTCCAATCCATCCTGTCATACGCTTTTGCCAAGTCTATCTTCAGGATCATATCCCCCCTCTTTGCTTTCCGCGTTTGCATCGTGTGCACCACCTCCTGCAAGATGATGATGTTACTCTGAATGCTCCTCCCTGGGACGAAGCTCGTCTGCGTCTTGTTCACTAACTTCGGCATCCACGACTTGAGTCTGTTTGCCAAACATTTAGTAAACACTTTGTAGGAGACATTACAAAGGCTGATTGGTCTGAACTCTGCAACAGAGGAGGGGTTAAGCTTTTTCGGAACAAGAGTGATCAAGGTCTCATTAACCGCAGCGATCAGATCGGGGTTTCTGAAACAGCCAATGATGAACTGTGAAAGGGCTTCACCGACCGTGCTCCAACACTGTTGAAAAAACATAGGGTGAAATCCGTCCTTTCCGGGTGCCTTATGGGGACCCATCGCCTTCAGCGCATCAAGAACCTCCTGCGGTGTTATATCCAGGGCCAACCCGGCCATGGAGTCCTCTATCAGAGGGAACTTAGCCGGAATCAGGTCAGCCAAGTTTGGGTCTTCCTGGTACAACCCCATGAAGAAGTCCCGAACCATGTTCTGCAATGCTATAGTATCCTCCACCCAATCACCCGCTCTATTCCTCAGCTTCCTGATCCAGTTGAAACTTCTTCGTTTGAGGGTTGAAAGGTGGAAATACCTCGTGTTGCTATCTCCCTTGGTGAACCACTGAGCTCGAGATTTTTGGTACCACAGGATTTCCTCCTGCTTGAGCACTGCTTGCAACTCCCCTCTGATTCTTTCTTCCTGTGTCAAGTTTTCCTGGGTGGGATTTAGCTCATTTCGGCTTTCCAGATCCCCCAGGCGGCGAAGGAGTTTTCTCTTCCGCGCAAAAATATTCCCGAAGACTTTCTTATTCCAGTCGCTGAGGTCAGCGGTGAGGTGTTGCAGTCTATCCTCATATTCTGCTCCTTTACCCCACCCCTGCTGAAGAACACGGTCAAAATCTTGATGGAGGAGCCAGGGAGCAAGAACACGGTCAAAATCCATGAATTTGTATCCAAAATAAAGACCAAATCTATGGATCCTATGAATTTTACACCCATCATCTAATAATTGACTTGTAAATCCATAGTTAGCCAATTTCTGCTCCACCTTGTCACACTAGTGGAAATGCTGATGAGTGATGACCTCCCCTTCTCACTTCAGAGGGGTACTCCATCTCCAAACCCCTACCTTACCCACCAAGGTAGGTAATTCATAATCCAATTTCACGTCACTTTATTGCACTAGGAGGTATCCTGAATTCCTGATTACTCCTCGGATCACACTAGGAAGGGTGTTCCGAACTTAGTCATTACTCCATCCACTAAAGGCCAAATGATATACGAACGACCCCTATTACATCAGGGGGCCTCCTCATCCTAGTCGGAATTAGCCAAATTTTACCCCACCTCATCACGCTAGGGGTGTATGTCGATGACCCCATTCACAATTTCACATCATGAGGATTACTCCAATACTTAGTCATATTTAACCTCACCTTATTGCATTAGGGGGCATGATTACGAGGGACAAAGTCAATGTTAAGGAAGGGGGGTCATGGCCTACCCGAAAGTTTTGAGAATTTACTAATACATAGTATTGGTGTAGGCAAGCGACAAAGAATTGTTCCTGACCTTATAAGAGATTAAAAAGTTTAACTATCCGAAAGGTCACATGCACACATGTTTCCTTCTTCGCTACAAACAACGCTTCATAATTCACGCAGCATATTCTAAATGTTGTGTTTTCTCACCTCAACGTCAGAGATGTTGGAAGGAACTTATTGAGGTATCTAAACAATATAACAAAGACCAAAGTCTGCAAGGATTCAGAAGTTGGTACAATTTGGTGGGTGGTAGGTCTGCGTTATGTTTGATGGATTTAAACTCTTTGCGGTTCAAGCAATGACAAATGGCTGACATCAATTATCTCAGCCTCTTAAAACAAGTTAATAACCAAGTTCTAACCCATCATATCTTCAAACAAATAAGTGGGGATGATCGCAAACTGCAGACAATACAATAGATACATATCTTGCCAAAGAGGTCAAACTGGGGCATACAGGGCCAATTTGAATTGAGGAAGCAATTTATTTACAGCTGATTCTTCAACTCCAGGATCCCATTTCAGACGGCTTCTCCTAAACTAAACAGATTTACAAGCCAGCAAGAGCGGAAAATTGTCATGTCGCTGCCCTTAGCTGAAACGATGGACAATGTGTTTACATGCCAGAGAAAGAGAGCATAGTGCAGTATCCTCATGTTTTGAGTATGGTATTGTAACAACATCGGTCAAGAGGAAAGAAAATGCATACCATTCCAGACACGGTGAACCAGATTTTTCCGGATGGCCAAGTGCTCCAAGTTTTAGAACCCATCAGTTAGACGTAACAAGAAACCCTCAAGCATCAGAAGATCATTCTGTACCACTTGTTTCGTTCTCTTCAGTCTTCAGGGAAGTTATTTACATCGATAAAGGCAGCCCTCTGTCCCTCTTCTTGGCCAGTGCTTGCCTTGAACTTCGGAGGCGTAAAAGAAGCAAGATTGCAAGACAGATTTCAACAACTGAAACCCAAAAGTATCGAAAATGAATGGATGCGTAGGACAAGATCACAAGCATGCTGAACACCAATGCCCAGACAAGAGCCACGGCAACATCAGGCCTGCACAAAATTAGGCACAGGACACAGTGTCAGAAAGACAATTTATAGATGCTTGAGAGCTAGTAAGCTTGGGATGATAGCTCCTTAATATTCATACTTCCATACATGTTGCTTAGTGGCTGGAAAGTGGAAACTACAGTTCAGTTGGGGCTTGAATCGATCCAACAGTAACCCTAATAGTCCATGATCTCTCGACTGAAAACTCGAAACGGAAACTGAATTATGATCAACACTAAAAGGGCCCGCCTTTCGGAGAGAAAAATTAGGAAAAACCAAAGACCTAAACCCTAGAATTTAAAGGACACCTCCAAAATTGTCCAATTAACCAAGTTCATCATCATCCCTTTCGACTTTTCAAGCATTTCTAAACCCGCTGTTCATAGAAAATCAATCGGAAACCTCCATATCCAGGGAACGAAACATGTAACCGATTCAAGAAGTGGACGGAGGACTAGAGGAGGAGGAAATTTTGTTTACCAGGAAACGAGGTGCGGCTTGGGGGAGAAGATGGTGAGCGCAGGACACCTGTGCTGAGCTCGGATCCGGTAATCCTCGAAGAGCTGCTCTACGAGCTTGGAACGAGTTATCATTTCTTCTTGATCGGAGACTCACCTTCTCCGACCCGATTCCCCAATCCTCGCCGTCGGAATTCCACCGGAATATATGTTGCTTTCACTGGCCTGGATTGCAAAGCACTCAGTTTCACCAGTCGCACATCAACTAGCAGAGAAATTTCCTGTTCCGCGATTCGTGTCCCCCGGCAGAGGATGGAACCGGAGAGGGAGAAAGAATCTAATCAGAAGCGTAGTGTGATTGTGAATTTGTGATACATACAACGCCTTCCCGCCGACGGAAAGAACCAACCAACGGCAACTACTTTTGGTTAGAGAGAGTTGGGCCTGAGCAACTGGTGGGCCGAAGTTGACATTACGCTGGGCCGCAACCATTTGAGCCTAACGGTCGCTATTAGGAGGCCCATATGGAAGGTAAGGGGGAAAAAAACTGAAATAGCGACAAAAAGAGAGTTCGTTGCTTCATATTTCTCATTCTTTTTCCAGCTAGCGAGCGAGCGCCAGACACCAGACACTGTTACTAAAGAAACAGTACGAAGAACGATTCTGGAGCGCCATAAAAGAGAAGAGGCGACCAGGCGCGGGATGAATTCATCGAGATTGGCGGCAATGGCGTCGAAGGAGAGGGATCTGGAGCGACTGATACCCATTCAACCCAACAAACAGGTTCAGGAGAGCATCACCAATGGTGGCTCCAATTCCTCTGCCTCCGTCGTCTCCCCCGCCGTCATCTCCCATAGCTCCGGCAAAGAGGTCCGCAAATTCTTCATTCTCTCTTTTCCTCTCTCAATTAGGGCTCTCCTTTCCCGCATTTCTCATCCTGGTTTCCAGCTTGATCGCTCGTTCGATTCGGTGATCAGAGATTTTCAGGACGAAGAATGATGAATGAAACGATTTCTCGTCTATCTCTAATCGCCGCATTTTTCTCGCCAACGATCAGATACAGAATTAGGGTTTTGTGGGAATTTTTCTTATTTGTAATTTGGGTTATATGAATTGAACTCCGCGACTGCTTCCTTGAACAGGCTATTTCAAAGCTAATCCGGAGCTGGGCGTGGAAGAAATTCATCACAGGAAGGTTTGTACCCCCAACTATGAAACTTTATACTGTTAGATTCATACATTGTGTAGCGAAATGTTTCATGTCGTTCTTGATTGCTGGTGCAGTGTAATTTTGCTTCCGATAGCCATCACATTCTGTGTCACATGGTGGTTCATCCGATTCGTCGATAGTTTCTTCTCCCCCATCTATGCCCTCCTCGGAATCAATGTATTTGGTGGGTACAAGTTATCATCATTCCTAAACTTTCCCTTCCAAATTCTGTCATACCAAGAACATACCAAAATAAACCACTGCTCAAATGGGCAGGGCTTGGATTTGTCACCTCCCTCACATTCATATTCCTAGTCGGCGTGTTCATGTCCTCCTGGTTGGGCGCTTCTGTTCTCAGCTTGGGAGAGTGGTTCATCAACAAAATGCCATTCGTCAGCTACATCTACTCTGCTTCTAAGCAAATCAGCGCGGCTATCTCGCCAGGTGAACAACAATTAATAAACATCAAATAATGGAAGGAAGAAAAAAAAAAAAAAAAGAGAGTTTTAAGGAATCAAACTTTTGACCTGATTTTGCAGATCAGAACTCGCATGCGTTCAAGGAGGTCGCCATCATAAGGCATCCGCGCAACGGGGAATACGCGTTTGGGTTCATTACCTCAACGGTGCTTCTGCGCGGGAACCTGGCTACAGAGGAGCTCTGCTGCGTTTATGTGCCGACCAACCATCTCTACCTTGGGGACATATATCTCGTCAGCTCGAAAGATGTGATGAGGCCTAATCTGTCGGTTCGGGAAGGAATCGGTGAGCTGATTTCTTTTTTCTGTATTACTCTGTATATATGATTTGAAACAATACCCAAATTCGTAATCTATGCTGATGGGTTTCTGTTTGGTTGCTGGGCTAGAAATCGTGATCTCGGGAGGGATGTCGATACCGCAAATACTGACGACATTGGAAGAAGCGCAGGCGATGGATGGCGATGGGCTTGGGAAGTATGGAGTGCCGCCTGTGTAAGCTTTGCACACTTGCAGAGGCGGAGGCGAAACCGGGGATATGCTGCTGCTGCCAGCGTCTTTCTCACTTGAGAAAGAAACTGCCGAAGCTCCGCAAGGTAGAAGATGGTTGCCAGTGCCATGATTGTCAGTGACTGAGGTACGAGACTCCTTGCGTAACGCAGGGGATGAAGTGTGTATTGTGTTGGGGAAAGAAAGGGTTGGGTGGATTGAAGAACACTCTCAACTATCTGTGAGAGAGAGAGAGAAAGAAAGAAAGAGAGGGTGAAAAAGTGGGCATATAAGAAGCAAATGAACATTGCTGAGATGTATATTACTGTTCCTTAATGAGATTTAAGAGTAATTGATGTTTGTCAATGGATGAATTAAATTGGGAAACAATTGCAAATTTGTTGAGAGATGGCAGATCGGTAAGAAACTAAACTATCTAACGATGAAAAATAGGGTGTTGACTGGGGAGCTGGGTAGTGATCAATAGAGAAGATATGATATCATCGTCGCTCATTTTCCTCTTCCTTCTCCTCCTATTCCCTCTACAGCCATCCGCCGCTTACTCCTCATCGTCGTCATCATCCTCCCCCTATCGATGTTCTTCCCGTCGCGGCTGACTCTGCTCACCGGCGTTATCATCCTCCCCCATCGACTTCTCCGTCGGGATCGCCTCGGCGAGCTTTGGGATCGAGCGGGTGTGAAGAAGGAGCAAGTAAGCCTGCCAGGAGACCTTTTGTGTCCTCGATCTAGGGATTTTGTTTCCTCTCTGGTTTAGTTAAATATCAAGTGAAAATTGGAAGCTGGGGTTTCATGCTTCCCTGTTCCGGCCACATGCTGAATAATGGTTGGGTGGATTGAGGTTTTGGAGAGGGAGAACGACGACAAATCATCCAGGGAGAGGGAGATGAGGAGACGAAGAGAACCAAAGTTATGAGAGAAGGTGGTTGCGGCGGCCGGCGGTAGGGGTTAAAAAATAGAATTTTTAATTTTATTATTTTATATTACAAATTTAATTTAAAAATATTATGTGTTAATGAGCTGATGTCGCAACTGACGTGGTGTATACGTGGCTGCCACATATGTGCCATGTAACCAATAGTCAACATTTTATGGTTGACCATTTGGTCAACCGTTATCTATAATGGTCAACGAAATTGTCATGACGTAAATGACGCACAACTATCATACGTCAGGACACAAATGTCATATTGGATACTTTAGGATACAAATGACACATTCTTCATAGTTCGGCCTTCCTAGTGGTATTAGCCCTAAGAGAAAATGTGGAAAGGTCCAAAACGGAGAGGAGTTAAAAATGAATTATTAAATTTTGCGTTTGGAAATTGAAAAGAAAAGTAAAATGGCGTATGTCATTGCCACTTAGAAATAGATGGGAGCGGTTGTGAGGATTACTATGGATTAGTACTCACCATGATTACTAAAGGCAAATCGGGAAACGGAAAAATATTTATTAATTTTCCTTTTTAATAAATTATATTTTAGGAAGTTACCAAAATATATTAACTACAATTTTCTCTCTCTCTTTCTCTCACTTCCAGAATCTTCAATGAGAATTGAGATCTCTCTTCCTTTTTTCTCTCAATCTTTTCCTTGTTTTCATTCAGGCAAACTAATACCGCTGCAATAATAAATCAATACCAATCTATTAAAAAACCACTAGCATTATGCAAAACACCAATTCCATTCGAGAAATAAGAACACTACTATTTCAGAAAACACCAATACAATTGCAGATTTAATCAATACCCATACATGCAAATCAATATCATTACATGATAATCAATATCAATGCGAAAAAAACACTACCACTACATTTCACAAAACAACAATACCCTTACATATAATTAATACCAATGCAAAAAAAAAAATCAATGCGAAAAAAACACCAATGCGAAAAAAACACTACCAATAAAAAACCAAGCATCTTATTCTCTAGTCAAATTCTCCCAATGAGAGGGTGGAGAGGGGGGGGGGGTGTTGTGGGTTTTGCACCAGAGGCTAGGGATGGCAACAAAACCCGAACCCACGGGTACCCACCCGACCCAACCCGGTCAACGCGGGTAAAATCCGTGTTGACGGGTTTTGGGCTGGGTTTGGGTTTAAACCCGTTCACTATTCACCGGGTTGGGTTGGGTTTGGGTTTAGGTAAACCCGGCCCGTGGGTACCCGCCCACTTATATAATTAATTTTTTCGGTATATTTAATATTCTAAACAACTATTCTTATTTATGTTTGTGGAGACATGTCTAATTTTTTCTTTTTAATTGTGTAGAATGAAGTTGATGTTATGGAGTGGAGACTAAAGAAACTTAATTGAAAGAAAGAAGCTTTTAATTAAACATGTTATTTATGGATAATTTGTGATTTACTTCAATTTTCATGAGTTTTCTAGATTGGTGTTGAACAATTTGTATAGTTAATTTGTGATTTGCTTGAATTTTCTAGAATGGTGTTTTATATATGGATAATTTATATTGAGAGATTGATATTTGACTTTAATTTTGATTGAACTTGTAATTGTAAAATTTTTAAGACAAAACCCGTGGGTACCCATGAACCCGCGGATACCCAACGGGTTGGGTTTGAGTTTTTCAAACCCGGTGGGTTTTACCCCGGGTTTTTTTCAAAGATAAACCCATGAGTTTGGGTTTGGGTTTGGCAAAACCCAACCCAACCCGACCCATTGCCATCCCTACCAGAGGCGGGATGAGGTGGGGTGAGGGGGAGGGAGGGATGGGGGAGGAGAGACGGTGGTAGGATGATGAGTTGTAGTAGGGTTTGGGTATATATAGATCATCATGTGTGGTATTTTTTTTCATTTCCAATATTATCGTTAATCTAATCTTTATCGTTAATTTTAAATTAGGGTGAACTAGAGATAATGAATAGTGTAGATTTTAGTAGCCACCGTGATTACTAAAAAATGAGTAACCATGCTAACCTATTTCGAAGATAGATAGATAGATAGATAGATAGATAGATAGAGAGAAATGAAATGAGAAGTTGTTCGTTGGCTTTGCACTGTAACTTTGTGGACTGTGCGGTACTTTTTCCCCATCTTATCTAGTCATTAATAACTAATACTTTTCCATTCTCTTTTTGTTTACTAAATATTTTGAGGTTCTAATTATTAAATTTTTAGTTGTTAAGGTACTAATTACATAATTTATATATTTACATTAAAAAATTAGTTTATATTTTATATATAATATTAGTAAAATTTTAGTTTATATTTATATATAATATTAAATAAAATAAAGTAAAATAATTTTAACGCTCTATCCACGCTTTCAATATTGAATTCCTCTAAATCAAACGCTCTTACGCTCCCGCTCTACGAACTGGTTAGCTAATTTAGAGTTAGGTTTGGTAACCCTGTATTTTGCTCATTTTTACAATAAAGCATGGTTTCTCAAATTTCTCATACGATATCATTAATTTTGTAAATCTCTTGGTTTACTTAGATATTGGAAACAATCCAAAAAATACATTACTCTACTAAACTACTCATTTAGCATAATTAGTCTGACACGAAGTGACTTGAACAAATAATTTTAATGGAGAAAAGAAGAACAATGTATCATAATAAATGTGCGAACTACATTGAAAAATTGAATATTGTTTATATAAATACTGGCCAATCGGACAACTGAGGAGGAAATAAAGAGGGATGATTAGTGATCGATGTTGCTATCAGTTATGATGGTCAAATAAAACATTTTTATAACCTTACAACCAAAAACAACGGTTTAATAACGGTTTCAAATAATTCAAATAACATAAATGTTATTTCTACACGGCAAAATGGTAAGATAGTAATACTAAACGATGTCAGACATGTTTCATGACTATAAGTTCTTTCTTGTTATGAAAACATGTAACAATAAGTTTTGGCATCATCTATGTCTTGTTTAAAGATCGAGACGAGACGATGTCGATCGATGGCGTGAAGGAAAATTACAGCGCCTCCATCACCAAAGACCAATAGTCGTGTTATGTATGCCCATAAAAGAAAATTTGTTTAAAAAGTAATAGTTTTTTAGAATATTTTTTCTTTTCGAAAAAGGAAGTGTCTTCTGATTCGTTGCATGTGTTTCTGGCAATTTAGGAAAACACAGAAATGGGATTCTCTCATTAAAGTTCTTAACATAAAAGTAATCATCACATTATGGTTGTTGAGCACTATGACCTTTTCTTCAACCTTTTTAACCCAACATTACTTCTCCATCCTTCTTCACTCCAAACAAATCTAGAGACTTGCGACTCTTCCAATCCAAAACCCAAGTTCAAGAGATAGGTGGAATGACAAGCAGGGGGATGTACTGCCCAAGTGGTTTGTTTGCTCCAAAACCGGTCACCCAAGTACCACCATCGCTATCAATGGATGAAAAGGACATAACCGATGACCTTTTGAAAGAGTACTTGATTGATATTCCTGTCGAAGAGCTGAATCATCTGGTATAATCTAACTCTTGCATATGAATTATATGTCTTAGATCTAGTAGTAGTGTTTGCACCCTTTTATTATTTGCATAAATCTTCTCCTTTGTGATTATTGTTATCTGCATTTCATATATGAAATTCTTCTGCTAGCAAACATTTGCATGTTGGTGTTGGCTTATATAGGTTCATGTTTGGTTTGTTGGATTCATATTGAGACACATTTTCTAATCTTATTTTGTCCTATTGTTCAGTGTTCAGTGTTAGATATTCTCTACATATATCAGATCTAAAATTTAAATTTGCATGTTGGTGTTGGTTTATATGTTTGTTGTTAGTTTGTTTGGTTCATCTGAGCCCAACATCTCTTTCTCTATCTTTAGGTTCAGTGTTAGATGTTCTCTACTTATCAGATTTGAAATTTTGCTATTTATTAGTAATTCGCATGTTGGTGTTGAGTTATATATGTTCATTGTTGATTTGTTTGATTCATTATGCGACACCTTTCCCAACGTCCTTTCATAAATTTTTAGAGGGTTCAGTGTTAGA